AAAACATGTTCGCATAATGTAAGCATTAGATATTTTTTTCCTGTAGTTTTAATGCTAATGATTCACTCCACTTACAAAAAATCTGTTAGACACAAACTAAATATGTATTTTTTTAATGCGTCTCTCAGACGGTCTGTTAGTATAGGTGCGATTATTTCAATATGTTAGTACTTAAGGGTTAAACAGTCTAAAACCCCAGCGATGAACCGTTGAGCCCGTGACCCCAAAACCACCCCAAGGGGTAAAAATGGCCCTTTTTTTACTTTTTCTTCAATAACTCTAAAACTACGAATTTTAGGAAAAAAATTCACGAGTAAAAAAATAAAGAGAAGAAAATTTCCTACCACATAAATAAAGAACCAAAATTTTTGTAATTTCAGTGGCGCAGATGGGAATTCTTTAATTTAGGATTGTTTTAATAACCCACAATTCTGCGTTTAACTACACTAAAGGTAAATTACCAGTGGCGGAGATAATTTTTTTAAATGTGCGTTTTTTGCATTTTAAAAACATTGAATAAGAAAAATTGCAGTTTTACAAATAATTTCCAATGAAATAGGTATATTGAAAAATTTACACGTTTAATAACAAAATAAGAAAAACCTTAGCTCAAAAATAGGATAACTATCTTAAGGAGTCTTCATTCATTTCCACATTTGGTGGGTTCATACATGTAATGCCATTGCATTGACTACATGCCATAGTGCAGGTGAGTCCCATTCGCTTGCATGTACAGGGTGGGTCAAATTCGACGCTTTTAAATGGAAACACCCTTTTCTATAGGAGATAGACGAAAACTAATATCGGTGTCTGGAGCTCAATTTTCATCAAAAACATGATGGTGAAAACCGCACATCAATATCTCTTACCCTTACGGAGTTACGGGGTGTTTTTCAAAAATGTGCATTTTTAACAAATCGCTGTAACTTTTTTGCTATCGAAAATTTTGTATTTCTATGAAAACATTTCCAAAGCATCTTTTTATGTAGAATTTAATGGTTTAAGTATAATTTTTTTAAAATTAATAATTTAAGAGTTATCAACAGAAAAATTGATTTTTTATTTGGGACACCCTCTATATTTTTAATTAACTGAAAATAATTTAAAATTACCTTTCCAAAAATAGAGCACACTTGATATTTTGTTATAATCCCCTTCGAAATACAGAATTATTAAAAGTTAGCCACTTTTAACTAGTAGGCTTTGGACCCCTTATTGATGATATGCCCTTAATGGAACTCGAAAATATATTTTTCCAACAAGACGACGCACCGCCTCTGAACGCTGAAGTTGTCAGCAAATTTTTGCAGCCAATTTCAAGAATAATTCAATAGCTAACCAAGATCCCAGCCGTTGGCCGTCGTGGCCGCCTAATTTAGTGCTCATGGATCTAATCCTAAGGATATATTTGCGGAAGAATAAAGGTTCCTTATTCTTCCGTATAATCGAAACAAGAATTAGAAATACTTAGTAGTTATGAGAGGGTATTTTTCACCCCCACTGAGTTAATGGGTTCCGCGAGAAATGTTCAAAAACTGCCCCGTCTGTCCATAACAGAAGACGGTCGATATGTCGAACACCTGTAGCAAAATCTCATGTCTTGGTTTGCTATTTATTTTTATTGTTATTAGATATAGTTTAAATGTGTTGATGTTGGTTAAATATATTTGAAATTGTTATAAAATGCTGCATCTCTCGTAGCAAATATTATTTTCGTTTTAATTGATGCTCACAGCTAGACTTTTTTTGGATTACAGCCGGTGCCGTTCAAAGCCTACTTATTTAAAGCGGGCAAATTTTTATATACTCTATATCTCGAAGAGGAATCGAGCAAACTATCAAGTGTGTTATATTTTTGGAAAGGTAATTTTAAAATCTTTTAAATAAATTCAACATATACAGGGTGTCCCATATAAAAAATCAAATTTTCTGTTGATAATTCTTAAATTATTAATTTTAAAAAAATTATACCTAAACCATTAAATTCTACGTAAAAAGGTGCTTTGGAAATGTTTTCATAAAAATACAAAATTTTCCATAGCAAAAAAGTTACAACGATTTGTTACAAATGCATATTTTTGAAAAACACCCCGTAAGTTCGAAACGGTAACAGATATCGATATGCGGTTTTCACCATCATGTTTTTGACAAAAATTGAACTCCAGACACTGATATTAGTTTTTGTCTATCTCCTATAGAAAAGGGTGTTTCCATTTAAAAGCGTCGAATTTGACCTATCCTGTACATGCTTTTTTACAGCCTCCCGAAGGGCAATTGCAAAACATTTTCTCTAAAACCCATGTAAGAGCAATGGGCGGGTTTGAATGTATTGGATTCATCTCTCGATTTTTCAGATTCCAACCCCAATCTTGCGGTGGTAAATTGGTAGAATAGAGAATTTAGAATAAGTGAGAGGGGGGTTAATCTCTGCGACCTTAGAGATCTATTGTGTCCCCCTTTCTTGAGTTATAACTCATCATACAGTCCCAGGACTTCCTACGGAGACCCGTGTCCCTCACAGTCGAGGAGCTACGACCCAGGCCGGGTAGACGAAACGGTAGCTTGTGTCGCCTGTTGAGTTTAGAGGTAGGAGGTAGGCTCCCGACCCTTGGAGGAGGTGGTAGCTTGTATGCCACTTGCGGAGGATGGTCTCACGCAAGTGTCAGCCACCTCTCCTGTAGTTCTCTTTAGGTTTGGCCCCTTTCATTGTTATTGTTCCCAGTGTCGCTAGGGGGTTTCCCCACAGCTTCACCGGTGATGTTTTTATTACTATTATTACCAGATCTCATAGTGTTCCTATGAGTCGCTAGGGACAGTCGGTCCACTTCTACAGAGTCCCGCATGTAGAAGTAAGGGGAATTGGTAACTTACCTGTATTAAAAAGATCGTTTTTATAGGAACTTGTATCCTCATAAATTTTTTGGTCTCGAGTTTTATCTCAAAAATGCTTTCATGTTAAACTGTTAAAAAATGTTTCAGTTAAACACAGAATGGTGGGTTATTAAAACAATCCTCCTAAATTAAAGAAATCGCATCAGCGCCACTGAAATACTGCTAAATACACTGCGCTACTGTACCTATGTAGTAGGAAATTTTCTTCTCTTCAATTTTTACTCGTGACTTTTTTCCTAAAATTCGTAGTTTTAGAGTTATTGAAGAAAAAGTAAAAAAAGGGCCATTTTTACCCTTTGTAGGGGTGGTTTTGAGGTCACGGACTCAAAGGTTCATCGCTGGGTTTTCAGGATGTTTAAAGATCTACAAAATGAAGCTCCATGCCAAATTTCAGCTTGTCTCTAATTTGCTGAACCTCGGCCTGTATAGGCTCTGGCCCAAGTAGCATTTTCACGACTTGCGACCACGTGTTTACTAAACGCAACGTTGGATTAGTTACAAAAAATAGTTAGCTCCGTACCTTAGATATTAAAATAAATTTAAACGTTTTTATAACGTTGTGCCGACGTTGAACTAGTACTACAGCAAAGTAAAAGCTTCTGCGACGTCGAATAAACGTTGTCTTGTAACCTTTTTTGCTTAAGCGATCTTTAGGTGATTCGGACAACGTAATTACAATGTTGGACAATAAAGAGTTTTCCGACGTCACTTTCAGGACCTATTCCAACGTTATGCAAACGTCGTCTGTTTTACTAATTCCAACTGTGTTGTTTAGATTTTCTTATTCTTAGGTTGGTAGGACGTCGAGCCACTACCTTTTTGCAACTGTATTGAACCATAACCTTAAATCTTAAATTTTCACTTCATTGTTCTGTTCAGTCAGACGGTTCAGTGCTGTTTTTGTTTTTATAAAAAAAAACTTAATTAAAATGGGACATAAGAAAGGTACATATAAAACTAAATTTAAATATACATCGACATATATTACCGACACTTCCTCGTTTATTTAGATTATAGAGGGCGGCACAAGCTAGACTCTAGAATGACTAAATTAGGCAATCTTGCGACTAGTATACTACCTGTTAAGGCCGAACTGCGACTTTATTAGTCCAGTATGCGACTACTCGAACTACTCCATCTTAATCTCCAAAACAACAAAGTTAAAGCCGCCATGTTGTTAAATAAGAAAATGTTTCGTTCTTAAAATAGCAATTCCTGCTTTTTGAATACATTAACTTGAAATATTTGACCCTAAAAAATACGCGGAAACAATTTTTTCGAATGCGAATAAATTATTCTCATTTTACTAAAAAAAAAATTCAAGAAAATTTTTAAAACTTCTTTAATTTCAAGGCCCATTAGTATTTTTTAAAGTAGAAACAATACATTTATCAATAAAGTTGTTTGCGTTTAACTTTTTACCTTGGGTAACGAGTTACAGAGTCGGTTAAAGTGTTTCAATAATTATGATCTTCAAACATCCTCCACACTTAAATACTTTTGTTTTGTTTTCCTTCACTGCCATCTGACATATGTCTCTAACTAAATTATAAATATAATATTTTTACTATAATTATCCCAATTTAGGATAAAACGCGACTTAGACGCCATATTAGTTTTGTATTTCTGTGAATTAGGATTTTAAACAACGTTGCAGTTTGTACTAAATTAGGCTTCTAGCCAACGTCGGTATCCAACGTTGTTTCGACCCAAAAATTATTCTCCAAACTAGTGCAGACTAGGTTGGCACGAGGTTGTGCCGACGTTGCGCCCGACGTTTGGTCGCATGACACAACGTTGTCCCAACGTCCAAATGCTGCTTGGGGGGCTAAGTAGGAGACCAGTGAAATCACACATGATTAATAAAACTCATTCGCAAAAGCTAAACTTTTGACTTTGTTGTACTTTTGTCCTTGCGGTGTGGACAATTTGTTTCAAGTTTGTCTTGTCAGAATTACCCATTTTCTGTCGCAAATTTGTCTTGTTTTTGTCTCAAAATTGTGTTTACTTTTTGTTGCCTTGATCAGGACCCGGCATTACATATTGTTGATAATAATATTCATTGTAATTCGATTCTAAACTAAACACTTAAAAAGACAAAAACTTACCCGAATCTAAATCTGTGGCACTGACTGTAACAATACTGGTACCAACAGTAACATTTTCAAAAACTTCGTTACTGTAGGACATGGGATCGAACAAAGGCGTGTTGTCGTTCAGATCCAGGACATTGCAGTACACTGTAAGGGTGCTGGATAAGGGATGACTGCCCGAATCTTGAGCTTGAACCACCAGAATGTAATGCTGAACCTGAAACAATAATGAAGGAATTTAGAACATTTTAATTGCAAGTTTTCTGTTGCTTCCAACTTATACACTCAGATGCAAACAAAACGCAACGGAGAAATTTTTGGACAAATTTAAAGTGTTATATTTTTGTTATTTTTAGCCCTATTTCTATGAATTTTTTATCAAGCTATATATAATCATATCAACTTTAATTCGTAAACTCAGTTTTTTACAAACTTTAGTATTTGGCATATTATACAGGGTTAATCGAGGGGTTGTTTTTTTATCCTAACTTTAAAACACTCTGTGCAATAATATCGTGTTTAAATTTTCCTAAAATATAATTTTACAGTCAGAATAGTTACAAGACATATGTAACTATCCCGCAATTCTCTATAAAAACTAATAATAATCGTAATGAAGTTTTTTTTCCTCTTGACCAGGTATAACAAAACGCAAACCAGACCTGCAAAAATGGTCTAAGCGCCAAAAGTAAAAAATAAAACGCGCCGGCAACGGTCGGCAAATCCTGTCCATTAGACACGTATTTCGCATAAAAACTTTGGTTTCTTGTCGGCGAAAATGTCCGACGGCTCGGACGTCGGGTATCGGTTCTGCGAAGGGCCGCGCTACGTGCGGACAACAATTGGAACTATTGGAAATCATGTGCCCGCTCACGAACCACCACAGAAGAAATAAAGAAAAGAAACTGCGAAGAAAAAAAATCAAGAAATATCATTTTAGTAGAATATGCTGCCGGAATTTCCGGAATACAGTTACAGTTCGGACAACCCTGTATATAAATAAATAAAAATAATAAATAACATAAAATAAACATCAGAAAAGCCCAACAAATTCGCAAAATTTCAAATCAAATCCAATGGTGTCAATTCAAAGGACAAAAATAGAGTTCATGATGTCGATTCAGTCTGTAATGCATGAATACATGGATAGCATTATAACCCTTGATCGCCCTGTATATAAAAACATAAATTCTTCATAATATGTACGAAACTATTTTAATATTCCCGCTAGGTTCTCGCCTCAATAGACAGGTGTCATAATTCATATAGCGCGCCCGTATGTCATCCAATCTGTGACGCCTGATGATCCAAATAAGGCAATATCAGCTTTGGTATAGTATCGTATATTATTCAATACAAACAGTATCTTTATATTGTGTTAGAAGAATATCGATTGGGTTTTCAACTTGTTCATTTTGCCTTGGTGCAGTTTTTCTATTTTTTTTCAATGAAAATCAGAGGTGTAAGATTCTTCTTTTTGAAGTTATTTGTGGTACATGGTGCATGAAGAATATTGAATTTATACCCCCTAACCGAAGAATCATACTTCTTGAGCTAATGGTAAACTGCTGATGGACACATGCTATCCAGTTCAAAAGGACCCAGTCCAGGAAATTTTTCTCGTTATAATTCGGTTTTAATATATTCTTTTGATGATAATAATACTATTTAATAATGAATTTATACCCCTCAACCGAAAAATCATACTTCTTCAGCTAATGGTAAACTGCTGATGGACACATGCCATCCAGTTCAAAAGGACCCAGTCCAGGAAAGTTTTCTCGGTATAATTCGGTTTTAATATATTCTTTTGATGATAATAATGTTGTTTAATAATGAATTTATACCCCTCAACCGAAGAATCATACTTCTTCAGCTAATGGCAAACTGTTGATGGACACATGCCATCCAGTTCAAAAGGACCCAGTCCAGGAAAGTTTTCTCGTTATAATTCGGTTTTAATATATTCTTTTGATGATAATAATGTTATTTAATAATGAATTTATACCCTACAACTGAAGAATCATACTTCTTCAGCTAATGGTAAACTGCTGATGGACACATGCCATCCAGTTCAAAAAGACCCAGTCCAGGAAAGATTTCTCGTTATAATTCGGCTTTAACATATTCTTTTGATGATAATAATGTTATTTAATAATGCATTTATCAGTCCCAACTCAAGTATCATACTTCTTCAGCTAGTGGTAAACTGCTAATGGACAAATTCCATCCAGTTCGAAAGGACCCAGTCCAGGAAAGTTTTCTCGTTATAATTCGGTTTTAATATATTCTTTTGATGATAATAATGTTATTTAATGATGAATTTATACCCCCCAACCGAAGAATCATACTTCTTCAGCTAATGGTAAACTGCTGATGGACACATGCCATCCAGTTCAAAAGGACCCAGTCCAGGAAAGTTTTCTCGTTATAATTCGGTTTTAATATATTCTTTTGATGATAATAATGTTATTTAATAATGAATTTATACCCCTCAACCGAAGAATCATACTTCTTCAGCTAATGGTAAACTGCTGATGGACACATGCCATCCAGTTCAAAAGGACCCAGTCCAGGAAAGTTTTCTCGTTATAATTCGGTTTTAATATATTCTTTTGATGATAATAATGTTGTTTAGTAATGAATTTATACCCCTCAACCGAAGAATCATACTTCTTCAGCTAATGGTAAACTGCTGATGGACACATTCCATCCAGTTCAAAAGGACCCAGTTCTAGGAAAGTTTTCTCGTTATAATTCGGTTTTAATATATTCTTTTGATGATAATAATGTTATTTAATAATGAATTTATACTCCTCAACCGAAGAATCATACTTCTTCAGCTAATGGTAAACTGCTGAGGGACACATGCCATCCAGTTCAAAAGGACCCAGTCCAGGAAAGTTTTCTCGTTATAATTCGGTTTTAATATATTCTTTTGATGATAATAATGTTGTTTAATAATGAATTTATACCCCTCAACCGAAGAATCATACTTCTTCAGCTAATGGTAAACTGTTGATGGACACATGCCATCCAGTTCAAAAGGACCCAGTCCAGGAAAGTTTTCTCGTTATAATTCGGTTTTAATATATTCTTTTGATGATAATAATGTTATTTAATAATGAATTTATACCCCTCAACCGAAGAATCATACTTCTTCAGCTAATGGTAAACTGTTGATGGACACATTCCATCCAGTTCGAAAGGACCCAGTTCTAGGAAAGTTTTCTCGTTATAATTCGGTTTTAATATATTCTTTTGATGATAATAATGTTATTTAATAATGAATTTATACCCCTCAACCGAAGAATCATACTTCTTCAGCTAATGGTAAACTGCTGATGGACACATGCCATCCAGTTCAAAAGGACCCAGTCCAGGAAAGTTTTCTCGTTATAATTCGGTTTTAATATATTCTTTTGATGATAATAATGTTATTTAATAATGAATTTATACCCCTCAACCGAAGAATCATACTTCTTCAGCTAATGGTAAACTGCTGATGGACACATGCCATCCAGTTCAAAAGGACCCAGTCCAGGAAAGTTTTCTCGTTATAATTCGGTTTTAATATATTCTTTTGATGATAATAATGTTGTTTAATAATGAATTTATACCCCTCAACCGAAGAATCATACTTCTTCAGCTAATGGTAAACTGCTGATGGACACATTCCATCCAGTTCAAAAGGACCCAGTTCTAGGAAAGTTTTCTCGTTATAATTCGGTTTTAATATATTCTTTTGATGATAATAATGTTATTTAATAATGAATTTATACCCCTCAACCGAAGAATCATACTTCTTCAGCTAATGGTAAACTGCTGATGGACACATGCCATCCAGTTCAAAAGGACCCAGTCCAGGAAAGTTTTCTCGTTATAATTCGGTTTTAATATATTCTTTTGATGATAATAATGTTGTTTAATAATGAATTTATACCCCTCAACCGAAGAATCATACTTCTTCAGCTAATGGTAAACTGTTGATGGACACATTCCATCCAGTTCGAAAGGACCCAGTTCTAGGAAAGTTTTCTCGTTATAATTCGGTTTTAATATATTCTTTTGATGATAATAATGTTGTTTAATAATGAATTTATACCCCTCAACCGAAGAATCATACTTCTTCAGCTAATGGTAAACTGTTGATGGACACATTCCATCCAGTTCGAAAGGACCCAGTTCTAGGAAAGTTTTCTCGTTATAATTCGGTTTGAATATATTCTTTTGATGATAATAATGTTATTTAATAATGAATTTATACCCTTCAACCGAAGAATCATACTTCTTCAGCTAATGGTAAACTGCTGATGGACACATGCCATCCAGTTCAAAAGGACCCAGTCCAGAAAAGTTTTCTCGTTATAATTCGGTTTTAATATATTCTTTTGATGATAATAATGTTATTTAATAATGAATTTATACCCCCCAACCGAAGAATCATACTTCTTCAGCTAATGGTAAATTGCTGATGGACACATTCCATCCAGTTCGAAAGGACCCAGTCCAGGAAAGTTTTCTCATTATAATTCGGTTTTAATATATTCTTTTGATGATAATAATGCTATTTAATAATGAATTTATATCCCCCAACCGAAGAATCATACTTCTTCAGCTAATGGTAAACTGCTGATGGACACATTCCATCCAGTTCGAAAGGACCCAGTCCAGGAAAGTTTTCTCGTTATAATTCGGTTTTAATATATTCTTTTGATGATAATAATGTTATTTAATAATGAATTTATAGCCCCCAACCGAAGAATTATACTTCTTCAGCTAATGGTAAACTGCTGATGGACATATGCCATCCAGTTCAAAAGGACCCAGTCCAGGAAAGTTTTCTCGTTATAATTCGGTTTTAATATATTCTTTTGATGACAATAATATTATTTAATAATTAATTTATACCCCCCAACCGAAGAATCATACTTCTTCAGCTAATGGTAAACTGCTGATGGACATATGCCATCCAGTTCAGAAGGACCCAGTCCAGGAAAGTTTTCTCGTTGTAATTCGGTTTTAATATATTCTTTTGAAGATAATAATGTTATTTAATAATGAATTTATACCCCTCAACCGAAGAATCATACTTCTTCAGCTAATGGTAAACTGCTGATGGACACATGCCATCCAGTTCAAAAGGACCCAGTCCAGGAAAGTTTTCTCGTTTTAATTCGGTTTTAATATATTCTTTTGATGATAATAATGTTATTT